CTTTCCACTCAAACTATGACAATGTAAAATCAGTGGTAAAGGTGAGAATACCTCAAGTATGTCTACAACAGCATAGAAACAATGTAATGACTGTGAGAAGACTAAGAGTCTGACTTTAATAAACAGACATCTTCTAAGGGGAGATGTTTCCTGTTTGCTCTATAACAATCAAAGAGCACTGAGACTCAAGCAATGACATCTCCTTTAGAGCAGACTCATCTCATTTTATCTTTGTCATTTTATGTTTCTCATTTCACTTCCCTCGGAATACATTTTTGCCCCCAGAAAAAAAGTTGGCTAGCTCTGTTATCACCTCAGTGCCATAACTAAACTGTGGAAATTACACTTCCTTTGGCAGTACTCCTTCCTTTGAGAAACTGTCTTTCATATTGAAAATCATGTTTCATAAGGCTTAGAGGCAGCACTTGGATCACATCAAATATCTTTACAGTTTTGCAACAAGAAAATGGTGAAAACATCTCCTTCACTTATATATGTATTTACTGTGGGACATAAAAAAAATAAACAGAAGGTAAGAAGGTATAAACTGAATACAGAAAGGCAGGGCTTACAAGGTCATTGGTAAAGGCTGCAGGAGAAAGCACATATGAATATTGCTGAGGTAAGCAGGTCATCACAGTGCAAGATTTTTTCATGGACACAGTTACTGATTATCAATTATATGGTTATGTTTTTGCTGTACTAAGTAATTAAAACCACTTTCCCAATAAAAATAGATAGTAGATTAAAATAATTTGATTAATATTTCAGAGTGATAAGCAAGGTTCAGCAAAACATGGCCTCTTGTGCTTGTGCCATGAAAAAGAACACAGATCAGCAAATCATTCACCATCATTCTGTTTTCAAATACACACAAACTGAAGGCTGAATCTGCAATTAAAGAATAAAAATATCAAATTTATTATGAAAAAAGTTGGGATATTTTTCTAGTTTCTATAGCCAGGGTGGAGTTGTGCATTTGCTTTTGCAGCACGACCAGTAAAGGTTTAGAAATCTGCTATTGATTGAAAAATGATACTGATTGATCTAATAGGCCTTGAAGTACTATATATGAGTTCTACAAGCTATTTTTTAATTTTATTTTGAATTCTGAAGTGTATACAGAGATTAATTCTGGCCCTCATTGGGTACATTTTGCACTCATATGAATCACTTCGAACATTTTAAAACAAATTATATTAATGGGACATTATAAGCAGCTGCCGCCTAGAGCTGCTCCAGCCTAGGCCCTCTCCTGCCCAGCCTGGTTCCCAGCTCAGGGGTGAGGGTGACATTTTCCCATTTGCAGAAGTGAAGCTGAACCAGTGTCCCTGTGACACACATGGACACACACGCACAGGACACTGACATGGCTGGTCACAGGCACTGGCACAGAGGATGCTCTGCATCTGCAGGACCCCAGAGAGGACTCTCACAGCCACAGGGCAGACAGCCCAGACCCTCCTCTGGCCACAGCACAGGCAGAAGGTCACTAGTGCAGGGCACACAAGGCAGACACTCTCCAGGGTCACAAGCACATGCATGTTCACAGATCCCCCCAGTACCAGCACAAACCCCCTGCTGTCCGGCACCCTGCCCTGAGCCAGGGTCTCCTACTTGCTGGCTGGTCCAGATTGAAGTTTGCTAGTGATTTCACATGCTTACCCCATGCACTCCAGGTTTGCGAGGGATATACTCATCCCTTAGCAGTGACATCACGTACATGGACTGTGACCTGAGGTCCTGCTCCAGCCACCAGCCCTGAGCCCCTCACTCGCCTCACACTCATGCTGGTGACTCCCAGCATTGGGGGATTTGGGAACACTTGCCCTTCCCAGCCTAGAGTAGGAGGCTCAAAGTTAAAGACCAGCTTCAGCTGCTGGTACTGAATCGGAGAATCATTTAGGTTGCAGAAGATCTTTAAGATCATTTAAGTCCAACTGCTACCCCAGAACTGCCTGTGCCACGAAGTGCCACATCTACATGTCTTTTAAATACCTTCAGGGATGGTAACTTAAATACTGACCTGGGCAGCGTGTTCCAGTGCTTAGTAACTTTTTCATTGAATATATTGTTCCTAATATCCAAACTAAACCTTCCCTGGCACAACTTCAGGCTGTTTCCTCTCATTCTATCACATGAAACTGGAAGACGTGTTTAACACCTCGCTACAACCTCCTTTCAGGCAGTTGTAGAGGAACTGAGACCCCTGACTCACTCCAACAGCAGATTGTACAGGCCAGCGGCACTCACACCCTGGTCTGACTTCAGCCTCCGCTCCTCTCACAATGGTCGCCAGCAGCTGGCACCGAGTCCTTGCAGCACTCACACACATGGGACAGAGTGAGATTATGCAGACAGCTAGTTAAAAAAGATTTAATGGGAGTTAGGACAGACTGCATCAATCAGTTGCAGGGCTCAGCCAGATAAGTGTTCTTACCAGCCACAGTTTACATGAAACTAGCCCCTCTTCTGTCTATTCCTCTTTTCTTTCTCACCTGCATATTGCGTCATCAGCTTGCACAGGCTCACCAACACCCCTCTAACCCTCAACACCTCAAGGTTTCGAGATCTGTCAGGTTTGTGTCTCAGTATACTTTGTGCTTCCCCTTCTTCCTCAGTATCCCATTTGACAAGGTCCTTGATCAGATAATCTTACAGGAATAAACATTCCTACACTTCATATACCTTTACCAGTTAGTGTGACTGATCAGTTTGGTTCTCATCACTGTCTCCCTTATCATTTCTTGGCCAGGTTTGTGTCTCTCTGTGTCCTTGTTTATGGCCTCCTCCTTTTCTTAATATCCCCTTTTGTGCTGAGGAAGTCCTTGACCAGACAACTTGAAGGAGCAGACATTCTCCTTCTATATATCCTTACAATTAGCACATAACTGAAAAATATTATCACAACTGTTACAAAGGAATATGGTTCAGAATATAGCAGAAAAATGAAAAAAACTTCTTTATTTTACAGTTATACAAATAAAAAACAATCCCCATAGCTGTACTTGAAATAATATTAACAGTGTCAAACATGACAATCCTGACAGAATACATATCAATACTTTAAAAGCACAAAAATTGTATTACATACGTTCAGTAGCAATAGTACTGTGCAGGAATGAAGCTCTCTGTAAACGCTC